CCTTTTCTTGTCTCTTCCTGTCCTCTTCTCATCTCTTCCTGTCCTCTTCTCATCTTTTCCTGTCCTCTTCTTGTCTCTTCCTGTCCTCTTCTCATCTCTTCCTGTTCTCTTCTCATCTCTTTCTGTCCTCTTCTCGTCTCTTCCTGTCCTCTTCTCATCTCTTTGTCCTTGTCTCTTCCGGTCCTCTTCTTGTCCTCTTCTCGTCCCTTCCTGTCCTTCTCATCTCTTTGTCCTTGTCTCTTCCGGTCCTCTTCTTGTCCTCGTCTCTTCCCTTCCTGTCCTCTTCTCGTCTCTTCCTGTCCTCTTCTCGTCTCTTCCTGTCCTCTTCTCGTCTCTTCCTGTCCTCTTCTCGTCCCTTCCTGTCCTCGTCTCTTCCCTTCATGTCCTCTTCTCATTTCTTCCTGTCCTCTTTTCGTCTCTTCCTGTCCTCTTTTCGTCTCTTCCTGTCCTCTTTTCGTCTCTTCCTGTCCTCTTTTAGTCTCTTCCTGTCCTCTTTTAGTCTCTTCCTGTCCTCTTTTAGTCTCTTCCTGTCCTCTTCTCGTCTCTTCCTGTCCTCTTTTAGTCTCTTCCTGTCCTCTTTTAGTCTCTTCCTCTTCTCGTCCCTTCCTGTCCTCTTCTCGTCCCTTCCTGTCCTCTTCTCGTCTCTTCCTGTCCAGCTGGTGTTTTATTTTTCGTCATGATGTGACTTCTGCAGCGGAACTGAAACCTGAAACAGTGTTCCGCCGTCAGAACTAATTACATCCAATCAGGCGGCGGAGCTCCAACTGTGATTGAGATTGTTGAGGGATTAGCGTCACTCTGCAGCTGAGCAGCTGCTGAAACTGCAGAGTGACGAGTGAGAGAATTTATGACAACAGTTGTGATTTGTGGCATTTCACAGCTGCCCGCTGCGTAGCTCCTCCCCCCTCATCACTTTAATTTCAGTTTAAACCTCTGTCCTCTTTTAGTTTGTTGTTTTATTTCCTTTGAGTCCAGCTGGGATGCACCAGGACTGAAATCTGTTGTCTAAAGCCTCCTTTACAAGACAAATCTGCGAAATCTCCTCACAGACTTACTTGGCTTTCCTCCCCCTCACGTTATTCATAAAATCACAGGTGAAGCCGGCCAGGTCCCGCTCATATGTACGCATTCAGAAATGAACCCAGCAACAAGGTGTGGAGCAGAACTCAGCGGGGCTGTAGTGGACCACCTGTGTGACAGACATCTGCTGCCTCGTATCAAATAAAACACACTTACTAAAGCCATCCTAAAGCTCAGTTTTTTTAAACTAACTACAAAGTTGTTGTTGCTCGTCATCTTTAATATTCCTTCTGTAATAAATATGGTTGTTGGTTCGATCTTGCAGTCGTTCGCTGATGTCATCAGCTCATTATCATTTTCTGAGCGCAGAACCGGTGGTTGCTTTTCCACAAGTTGGCCTGCCGGGCTCGGTCCGGATCTGATACTACCTCGCTTGGGGGCTCGGAGGGGCATCACAGGCAAGGGGCAGGGCTACAGGAGGAGGCGGAGCAGCAGCAAGGGGCAGGGATTTAGGAGGAGGCGGAGCAGCAGCAAGGGGCAGGGATTTAGGAGGAGGCGGAGCTGCAGCAAGGGGCAGGGCCTCAGTAGGAGGCGGAGCAGCAGCATGGGGCAGGGCTTCAGGAGGAGGTGGAGCAGCAGCAAGGGCCAGGGCCTCAGGAGGAGGCGGAGAAGCAGCAAGGGGCAGGGCTACTGGAGGAGGTGGAGCAGCAGCAAGGGGCAGGGCTTCAGGAGGAGGCGGAGCATCTACAAGGGGCAGGGCCTCAGGAGGAGGCAGGGATTCAGAAAGACGGTTGTCCCACTCATCGTCTCAGCCCTCTGAAGGTTCCTCAGCACACAGAGATCTGTGGCCCACAGCTTTTCTCATGTTTTAGTAACTTCTAGCGTTTTGAAGTTTTTATGCTGCAGATTTGAATCTGAAATGTTTTTCATTTATAACAAGTTTTAGTTTCTGTGTTTCAGAATCGACGGGCTGGTCAAAGTACAGAACCTGAAGAAGAGGATGATCCGCTTCACGGAGGTGGTGGCCGGCCTGAAGGAGGGGAAGCAGGAGATGACTAAACAGATCCAGGAGCTGGAGAACGCCATCGATGCCTTGATGATCAAAATCAAGGTGGGCGGACTCTTGTTTGTTCTTTCTGTGTGATTTAAAAAGCCTTTTGTTGAGTTGTCTGCACTGACAGAAACAAACATGTTAGACTTTTGTTAGAAAATCAGCTGTGACGGACAGCTTCTGCAGTTTGACGGACAGCTGCTGTAATTAGACTCTGACAGATTGCAGCTTTTTAAATGTTTTCTAACTTCTATCGGTGCACTGAAATCAGGAGATATGAAACCGAGTTGTTCAGAGCTTTAATCTGATGTTTGTTGTTGAACCAGAGATTCCTGAAGTGTTGAACACTTTCCTTTCTTGTCGTGTCGTTGTTCATGGAGCTGACAGGTGTCTGCTGCTGTGAATGTCAGGTTTACAGGGACAGATGCAGGTCGAGCCTGCTGTCATGTAAACTGTGTTGTGACAACAGATGCTCATAAATATTCAGCTGATGTGAGGCGACAGCGTGTTGGTCTCTCAGGCTTCCATCAGCCTCTCCTCATTTCAGCCTCAGCCGAAATATTCTGACCTCTAACAGCCGAAACATAATGAACATACTGACCTCTAACAGCCGAAACATAATGAACATACTGACCTCTAACAGCCGAAACATACTGACCTCTAACAGCCGAAACATAATGAACATACTGACCTCTAACAGCCGAAACATACTGACCTCTAACAGCTGAAACATACTGACCTCTAATAACTGAAACATAATGAACACACTGACCTCTAACAGCCGAAACATTCTGACCTCTAACAGCCGAAACATTCTGACCTCTAACAGCCGAAACATTCTGACCTCTAACAGCCGAAACATTCTGACCTCTAACAGCCGAAACATTCTGACCTCTAACAGCCGAAACATTCTGACCTCTAACAGCCGAAACATTCTG